CTACATACCGTTACGTAGGTCTCGCAGTCAGCTATCCAGATCTTCTTTCCGTTACTGATTCTGAGTTATATTAAATCCGGAAATCAGTTTTAAAGTTGAAGAAAAAATCAGTATTTTGAAAAAAGTTCAGTTGTTTTTCGGGTATTTGGTTACATTTCGGGTATATGGTTACATTTTTAACGATTTCGGGTCTAATCGGGTAAAAAAAATCCGAACCGAACCGAAATTATAAAAAAAAACTGTTTTTCGGGTTTTAAACGGTTCTGAGATTTAAAAATCGAACCGACCTGGAACCGATAGATACCGAACCGAACCCGACTCGAAATGTTTTTGGTACCTATGTGGGTAAAAAACTCTTCTACCCGAAAGATCCGGAACCGATCGGTTCCTATCCGAAACCGAACCGAATACCCGAATGCCCAGAACTAGTCTATTCAGTGATATATGTGAACCAAATATCGAAATCATGAAAGGGCTCGAAGAGAAGAATAGTTTTGCAAGAAGAGTTTGGAGTATGTCTGTTTCTCCATTGGAAACCTCAATCTTTCTTTTGAGAACCTACAAAACAAAATAACGAAATAAATAATTACGCAGAAGCGAGTATATTCTATGTTTTAATAATTATAATAATGATATATATTAAAATAATAAGATTCATTTAACTGATGAGGGTGGTCAATTATTCAAATTGTTTATGCTATGGAGGAGGATAAGGTGTAAAATTGTCTTAATTAGTAACACCTTACGCTTCTATTTTAACCTCTAAATAGAAGGGTAAGGTATATATTCAAATTGTCTCATACTTCGAGATTCTCTCTTTTCGTTTTGTTGATCAAGTAGTATATTAATTAAGGCTATAGTTTCTTTTTAGTCTTTAACCTAATATCAAATTTCGTTAATTTCATATAAGGTTCCAAATTTCTATATGAGAGCTATATATTAGAAGAGTGAAAATTAATAGGATAAATACAAAGAAAAAGTTCTCAGTTTAAACTAGTATTTTTCTTAAAAATATTTGCTTGTCTAAGTATGGACTAGATAAAGAGATCATCTTAATTCCTAAATTTGTATGGGATAAATACAAAAAGGAGTTATTTTACAAGTTCTTCTAAAAGTATATGCAGTGTTCTATTTCTATTCCATGATTCCATCAACATAATATTGTACACATTATATATAATTTCATCTTTGTCTGAGTTATATAAAAGCAAGCGATAATATTTCAGTAGTCTTGCACTTTTTATACTTATCAAATTCATATATTTTGTTGAACGTTTTAGATTCATCGACCTAAGTATATCTTCTCCTCTTCTTTTGATCTAATTCCACATTTTGTCTAGCTTTTCTTCTATGGATATTGTTATAACATCGTACATTCTTACGTGATGTTGGAAGCACTTATTCTTGAGTCTTTTTGTTCAATATTTTGTTCTTATAGCAGTCATTTGTCCAGTGAAGAATCAGAGTTTTATTTCTCTTAATGTGTTGAATTTGAGGAACTTTTTTTGTTTCTTGTTCTAAGGCTTTCATTCGTTAGTACATACGGAGGAAAATGATTCTCTTAAAAAGCTCAAGTTTAAATGTAAAGGATTATTTTGCATAAAAAAAGAGGACTCATTTTTCTCTCTTTAACTTCATAAACAAAGATAAAATACGAAGTAAAATGTTTTAACTAATACGAGTATATTTACGATTTACTCGTGATGCAAATAATATGAAGGAGAGACAAGTGCTAGTTGCCCGAGGAGAAGCAGAGCCTCATGTGACTTACACACGACCTAGGAAATTAAAAGAAAAGAGGGTTATACACATCACCTTCTTTATTTTTTAATTACACCATTTATGGTTTCCACATGAATCTGTAAGTCAGATTTAATCAATAAAGTTACACTTTGCAGTTTGCAAGATCCAGAAAAAAAAAGAGCTCTTATGGATTTTTAAGTGACCAATGAACACTTCATTCAAACAAATTGCTTATTATTATGTATGATATAGGTTGCACACAAAAAAAATTATGTATGATATATTTATATATAAGACTTCAGACATTTTGTATGTGTCTGTGAGAGAGTTTTCTCAATAAATATATATGGACTAAAGTATTCAAATAAAGGAGATGCATTGTGAGAAGAAAGCTATATTTTGATTATTTGAGGGAATGGAAGAAAGCAAAAGTTTGTTGTGAGAAGAAGAAACAAAGAGATGCATTGCATGCAGAGAAAGTTTCCAGTAATAACAATAAGTTGAGAATAGTTGCACTAAAGAAGAACAGAGAAGAAACCTCATAGAGAAAAAAGTGTTGACCAATAAACAAAATTAAACAGGAATAAAAAAAGGGGGAAGTAAATACAGAAGTAATTGAAAATTTATGAAATGGTATATACTAAAGTTGTAATTATTGGAATAAATAGAAAGAACGAAAGAAAAGAAGAAGAAATGATTGTTTAAGAAAGTAAGAGAAGGAAGTGGTGGGTGAGGGAAGGGATCGTAGTGTCAGAAAAGAAAAGAAGGAAGAAAGGGTCACGGGTTTGCCTTGAAAGCCACTTTTTCTTTTCTATTTTATTTATTTTAATTTCAGACACTCAGACACATATTCCCCTCCATCTTCTCATTAATCGAGGTTGCTAACTTCCAAATTGTTTTTTACATTTTCACACACACTTTTTTCCTTTCTTTTTGTTTGTTTTACTGCCCCTCCATTAAAATCTAAATTAAACTTTTAGAACCTTTATTACATTTGAGTTTTTGTTTTTCTAATAGTCCAAGAAAAGTTTGAATTCTAACACAACCTTTACTTACATCACAGTCGGAACGAATTTAGGATATGTTTGTTGTTTTTCTTTCCGATTATTTAAAATTGTGGTACTTAAAAACAAAATTATTGTTACTTTTCAAAAAAAGCGAGCCTAATTAAATGATTTTTTTTCCCGAAAATTACAGATAAATTATAGATATTGAGCATTTTCAATCATATTCTAAATCTGGTGCTAAATTCTATTTTACAATGAAATGTGTTCCAATCATATTTTATTTTTGATTTGAAAATAGAATGGTGCTATTTTTCTTCCAAATTTGAAACTATCATATATCACATTCTATTTTAGAATTAAACTTTTTTATTTATAAACTAGTTCTTTAAATATCGAATAATTTTATTTATCAGATTTATAATTTATTATTTTGTTGTTAACTTCTTTTATTAATAATTATAAAATTTAATACACTTGAATTTTTAAAATTCAAATTCAAATAACAATTAATTAATTGAAAATATAATGACATAAATCAAAATTAAATTTTTTTTTATTTTTTTGTCACTTTTATGTGGTGTAATATATATTTTTATTAAAATAATCAAAACCCAAGAATAATATAATTTATAAAAGTTTTGAAAAAGAATTATTAGATCAATTTATAAATTTTGAAGAAATTATGGATCAATTAATAATTAATAAAAAAATAAAAAAATAAAATTGTAAATTAGAGAGAAATGCAATTCTATTTTACAATCATTCTATTTTGAGATTGGAAAATAGTGTGATACATTGGAGATGCTCTTGATACCTTTTTACAGCATAAATAAGTACTATACACTAATTTTAATTGTTATTAATCACATAAACAATACTAATAATTAGCATTATTGAAAATGATATCTTCTTCATCAGTTTTTTTGTGTACTGCTAATTTTTATGTCTTCTATATATTCCGATATTCTTTTTTTTTTCACTAAACAAATTTTACCAATTAGTATCATCAGCGGGATTGTATAGTGAGGTATGGTTATAATTCAAATTGATACAATTTTATGGTAGTCTAACTTTTCTTATTATATACATGTAAAACCGCATTATATTTATTTTATCATATAAATTATACACACACACAACGTGTTCTTCTCCTGTGACAAGATATGTGATTTCACATCTCATTGTCTTCTTTGTATGATTTTGACATGATACAAAAATCTTTGGAACCAATGAATTTAGCTATTTTTTCACATCTCATTGTCTTTTGTGTTCTGTTGACAATTCTACAAAAAGGAAAGTGCCTAGACACGGAAAACCTATTAATATGTATGATTTTACCGCAACTGATAATCCAGGAATTCTAATTTCCCACATGACATTGACAAGTGATAACTACGACGATCATTGGGGTAGAGACAGTTCCATACGACACTGAGGGTAAGAAAACAAAAATAAAATAGGAGTTGGAGATATTGCGACCTTAGCTTCCTAATCAATATGGTGCATCAAAACTTCATGACCAGTGTGCAAATCAATCGCTTGGACCAAAACATTTCAGCAAGACATTTCATTTCGAAATAGTTAAGGATTATATGGGATGTTATCACCGAACAATGTGTGGTGAGCGAGCTGCAAGTTCAATAATTGAAAGGTAATATCGCAAATATGGTGATATGATTTTCAAATTACATGTTTGATGAAAAAAGAGAAGGCAAACAACACTATTTGTCCAAAAAAAAAAAAAAAACACAACTTTACCTAGTTAACGTAAAACGTAAAGAAACAGTGCAACATTTAATCAGGTGAATAAGTGGTGCTACATTCTGTATATGTGTTTGGCGTTAAGAAAAAAAAAATTAAAACCATTCAAGTAGAAGTAGAATCTCTCTCACGTATGGGTCAACAGACAACAATAAGTCTATTCACTTGCATGCCACATCCATGACATTTCCTTTCTGAATCAAAGCTTAATCATTTGATGATCATTTAAAATCATTTACATTTGTTATTGCTACATATCTATCATTTTTTCGTTCTATCAACCACATATTTTCAACTCAATTTTTTTAACCATCATTATTTTTTGTGAGTGTGTGCATGCAAAGGTAGATCACACAGATCTTCCAAATTTCATATATACCAGGAGAAATATCCATACACTATTATAAATAATAAAAAGATATATAATTAAATAAAAAGTCACTACTTAATAATAGTAGTTACACATGAGGACAGATACACACGTACGATCTTTTAACCTCAAAAAAAAAAAAAATTGGTACTCACTCACTACTCAGTACTAGAGTACCGCCTCAGGCTCCATTTTTATCAAAAACCCCACCGATACAAAACAAACACAAATCGTCTCTCTCTTCCTCTCTCTTCCTTTCTTTCTCTTTCTCTAATGGCGATGATGGTGGAGAATAGCTATAGTTACGGTGGTGGAGGCACCGGAGAAAGGATACAGTTAATGGTGGAAGGTCAAGGCAAGGCGGTTCCGGCGCCGTTTCTGACCAAAACTTATCAGCTTGTCGACGATCCAGCGACGGATCATGTTGTTTCTTGGGGAGACGATGACACCACCTTCATCGTTTGGCGTCCACCGGAGTTTGCTCGTGACCTTCTTCCTAATTACTTTAAACACAACAACTTCTCTAGCTTCGTTCGTCAGCTCAATACTTACGTAAGTGAAGCAAATAACGATTTGGGTTCTTAGATTTTTGTCAAAAACGATTCGTGTTTCATAAAAAACGGTTTTTATACACTACAACGATTTGGGTTTATGAGTTTTGATCGATTTGTCATTAAAGATAAAAATTTTATACGAAAAACGATTTGGGTTTCTTTAAGAAACGATTGTTATACACTAAAGCGATTTTTTTTAATCGATTTGAGGTTAAAGAAATGATTTTTATACACAGATGCGATTTGGGTATTTAAGTTTTGATCGATTTGTCACTAAAGATGCAATTTTTTTACGAAAAAAGATTTGGGTTTTTGAGTTTTGTCGATTAGTCTTTAAAAAATCCATTTTTATACCGATAATCGATTTGGGGTTTTCCGATTTTGTCTTGATTTGATCGATTTGATTTCTGATTTTGTGATTATCCTTCTTTTGATTTTGTTTTTTAGGGTTTCAGAAAGATTGTTCCAGACAGATGGGAATTCGCGAACGAGTTTTTCAAGAGAGGAGAGAAGCATTTACTCTGCGAAATCCACCGGAGAAAAACATCTCAGATGATACCAAACCAACACTCTCCGTTCATAACTCACCATCCTCCTCCGCCGCAGATTCCATTCTCCTCTGCCGGCGGCGGCCCAAGTTTCTTCCCTTTACCAGCGCGTGAGGACGACATTTACTGGAGCGAATCTCCGCCGCCGAGACCACGAGTCGTACCAACCACCGTGGAAGCAACGGTCACGGCATTAACCGAAGACAACGAGAGATTACGACGGAGCAACACCGTTCTAATGTCGGAGCTTGCTCATATGAAGAAACTCTACAACGACATTATCTACTTTGTTCAGAATCATGTCAAGCCTGTTGCTCCAAGTAACTCTTACTTATCCTCTTTCCTCAAGAAACAGCAACAACAACAACCTCCTCCTCCACAACTAGATTATTACAATAATGCCACTGTCACTAGTCTCCATGCCTTGAACTCTCCTCCTACTTCTCAAAGCTCCATTACTGTTCTTGAAGACGATACTAATCACGACAGTAATACTAGAAAGACGAAGCTTTTTGGGGTCTCGTTACCTTCTTCGAAGAAGAGATCACATCATTTCACAGATCAAAGTAGCAAAACAAGACTTGTGTTGGATAAGTCAGATCTTGGATTGAATCTCATGACTGCTTCTACACGTTAATTAAGAGTCTTTCTTTTTATTTTTGGATTAAGTATCAGCATTATTAACAGTAATGTTGTATCAATCTTAAGGACTTTATCTTTTTTTTTTGTTTGTTTTGTTTCTCTGATTAATTAATAATCTTTCTTCTAATCTTTCTTTTTATTTTTCCTTTTTAGTTTTTTCCTTTTTGTTTTGTTTTGATTTCTGGGCTTGTTGTGTCTCAGGAAAATGAGAATGTCAGTGATGTCTAATGTAGATAGGCTTTTAGGTTACTTTATGCATTTTCGAAATTTTCATGTGTATCGGACCGATCGAGTTTATTAATCCCTTTATTTAATGCTTTCTCGTCTTCTTCTTTTTGCTTATGTTTTGTTCTCTTTCTTTTTTCGGATCCATCCGCGTCATCATTTTCCCAGTTTCTGGTTCCCCGAAATTTTCATTTTTGTATTTATTGTTCCTTTTTCCATTATTTTTTCAAACATGGGAGTATTAGTGCTGACAAAAACAAAAGTTGTAAAATTACTCCTCTCATTTGATTTATTTTTCATTTTGGGCCTTATTGAACCTATCCACAACATTTGTTTCATTTTGGAAAACACTTTTTCCAGCAATAATAATTTATAACTGTGTGACATTCGTGTAAAAGACACATTTTCACAAAATTACTATTACCACGACGAATCAGAACTTTCATAATAGTGAAGTTCTCCAATGGGGGAGCAAACAAAATTGGCCATTTTTGCCAGTTTAGTTGCCGAAGGAGAGAAGCCCTCAGAATTTCTAATGGACTATCTACATTAAAAATTCGGCCATTTGGGCCACATAAAGATAGGCCTTTTCTCATATCTTTATAATTCGGCCATTTGGGACTTCCTAACTAACGACCGTTCTCAAATAAACTTTGACTACGTGATGGTCCGCACCTGGCACGGACAATGAATATTTATTAAGTTTGTATATCAACACATTTAAAAGAGAAATTTAGCTATGAGTGATCATATAATTAACATATTTCACGTCATTATATATTTATAAAGTAGCATTATTGACTATCCGATGATATCACTTTAAATATAAAGAAGAAATTAAGACAAATAATATTATAAGAGTTGCACAAATCAAATCCTTACTAATCGATATCCAAATAGTTTTCTTCTTCGTCTACATCCTCTTGTTCACTATCTCAAATCTTATTCAAGCATATACAAACAGATTAGTTACGACAACAATTGATCATTATCGTACATTGTAGATAATATTTATTTTAAAAATATAGTTATCTTACAGCATATCCTGTAACTCAAGTGCCTCTTGAAGATCAGGGTTGAACAAAACCCTTGAGATGTCGGCTTGATCAGAAACGTGATATTCCTCTACAAAAAAGTATTGATATGGTTAGAGATCATTAAAGATCACAATTTTATAAAGTATTAAATAAATAAACTTGAGATGGTTCCATTGCGTATAACGACTCGCCAGTCACTTAGAACACAAATAACCAACTGTTGTTCATTACAACAACACCATCTGTCATTGAACTCAATAGCCAATTTTCCATGTGCATAACATGTTATCATTCGTTCACTAAAACAATATTAGATTGAGTTGTTCCACACAATAAAACTAAGTAGATTTATTACAAAAATCTAAATAAACACTTACGTTTCATCTATCAATGTAAACTCAATCTTTGATGTCATTTTTGACTCAAAAACTTCAAACGAACGATCTCTAACCACCTCAAGTTCGCCAACCGATTCAACAGCACCAACTAAATCTGTAAGTATTATTTCAGAAAAAAACATCTTTAAAATGGAATTGTCGATCTAAAATTATAATGAGTAATATTGAGGAAGAGTCACCAACAGGACAATTTCGTTGAAAGTTGCCAAGATAGAAATTCTCGTAACAAAGAATCTGCATATGTGGATAACCTCCATTGTAGAAATCTCCAGTTGTGAAATCTTCCAAGATTCGAGTGTTAGATTGAAACTCAATCTTCAAACAATTCTTTGTCATTTGTCTCGCCGATCTCGCGGATACTGCATTAAAATTTCGTATTCTTTTCCATATGCCCCCCTCATGGAGCCTCTTTAAAAAAAAAGAATCATTTCTTCACTTCCTACTGTTGCTTGAATTTTTGAACCCTATAACATACACAATTTTTTTTTTTACAAATAAAAAACCCAAATTGAAATAAACAAAAGCAAGCAAAAATCTAGTAAGAAGAATTACCTGGTCATCAAGGAGAATGAAATGAAGAACATCGCCACCATCTGGTATCAATTCAACCCATCTTTTATAAACCATTACTCTTATAGTCTAATCAGTTCTTGAAGAACCCAACTCACTAATTCTAGAGATACCAGCCATTATAAGATTTCAGAAAACAGACAAAATTTGATTAAAGATATTTTTTTCTCTGTATATATCAAAAGTATTTTAGTCTGTTATGCTACGAACTGACTGCGCCCATTGCTTCTTTATAGTAGAGTCTCGAAAAGAAGTCGGATACCGAAAACCTACATTGTCAAAATTTGAATCATTGTGCATGTATAGAATAAATGAAAAGAATCAAACGGTTCAGAGTTTTTGTTATTCGTGACAGTTCGCATTCTTTAAGACAGGTTTTAGTCATTAAAATTCAGAAATTAGAATAGTAACGTTTCATCTAATATTCATTTTTAGAACTTGAAAATTCATAGTCACCAGGCCTACCGTCCTTGCTTGATTTTTAGAAAAGACATAGCCCAAACGGCTTTTTTATTACTGGGCTGTTGTAGTCGTTACAAATTTTAGTTGGTCCAAACCGTAACCGTTGTATTGCTTATTTCCAACTGAATCAAGTAAAAATTAATAAATAAGCTAATAAATTCGTTCATGCGTTTAAATTCAAATATAATATTTGGTAATAGACATTACCATTTTCATTTCTTTTGTTCAAATGTAGAATCAAGCAAAAGAAACATAATAACTCCACCAAGAAAAACACACTCAAACTAACATATAAAGTAAAACCATTCCTTTCCATGAGTCATAGATTCTCTGTCTATGGATATCTCGAAACACATCTTGCAGTGGAAACCTCTTCATCACATTGTAGCCTGCAATTAGATCTATTATATTACTAAAGATACATTAGGTAATCTAATTAAAATTTCTGAATATAGTAATATTACCTATCACGAAACCGATGAACATCCGGAATGTATTCAATGAAAATAAATTCACAATACTTCTTTCTTGCGATGACATTTTTTGGTCAAACCTTGCATTGATTGAAAACGAAACAGAGTCTACACCTCCACGAAAGGAGTAATTTTAGCCAGGGCTAGAGCTACTTTCGCTACATAATCCGCAGCAGCATTGTTCAAACGAGGAATAAAAGAGAAATTGATAGAAGAGAAGGATCGACTCAACACGCGAATGTCGTGGAGGATTCCCTGAAGGTCGACGGAGTTGCCATTTCCGTTGATGAGAGAAATGAGGTTTTTGGAGTCTGAGTGACAGTTCAGCTCCTTGATACCTGACGACGCTGCATCCTGTAGTGCGGCTTTGAGCGCTAGAGCTTCTGCTACGAGAGCCGAGCTGACAAAGCGTTGAATTCTAGAGTTCTGGAACAGAGTGGTGTTCGAGTTGTCTTTTAGGACCCACCCCAGCCCACTACAACCAGTCGAATTATCCCAGGCCGCATCTACAAAACAAGTGAGAGACGCAGGGGAGATGGTAGAGGGGCAGGGTTTGGTGAGCTTGACTTCTCTTTTTTGCTGGGTGAGGGCTTCTTGTGCTACATGCCATGCCTTTGCATCCGAGCATGCCTTGTCCGCCACTTCCTTCGATGTGTAGTCCTTACCCTCAAACAGAAGCTGGTTCCGACACGTCCAGAGATTCCAGAAAACCCAAGGATAGAGGGGAGTGGAGGCCATTCCTGTGGGAGGCAGGTTGATCATTCGACAGCAATCTTGCAGGAGCTGCGGGATAGTGGTTGGATCTGTAGCAGATGGTTTATGGGTTACTGGAAGACGATCCCTCACTCTCACTGCAAACGGACATTGGAGGAGAAAGTGAAGCTCATTCTCAGCCGCTCCGCAACGTTTACACGTAGGATCGACTATGATTCCCTGCGTAGCCAGTGTTTCTTCGACTGGCAGGGCTCTGTTCTTGATCTTCCAAAGGAATGTCTTTAGCTTTGGGGAGGTTTTGACTCGCCAAACACATTGAAGCCAGCGGAAGGGTGGTGCTGGGGCTGTCACAGCGTGTAACTTTGCAATCACATATCCAGATTTTGTAGAGTAAACCCCTGATTTTACGGGTAGCCAAGAGAGCTCATCCGCCATGCGAAAGTCGCTAGGCTTTATCTTTAGAATACGTTTCTCATACTGAGGTAAGTGAAGCCGAATAGTTGCTAGATTCCAGGACGAAGAGTTCGATAGCAGGAGATCTTTGACCACAAAATCTTTGTTCTCGGAAGATGGGGGACCCATAGGAGCCAGCGGTTGAGATGTATTGGTTCCCCACACTTTCGTGCTAGCGCCATCACCTATGATCCACCGAGCCCTTTTTTCGGGATCTCTCGTCCGGCTAAAATGCCCTTCCAGCCATGAGAGGAAGCTGGGTGAGTAGTACACTCTATGAAGGAGGAAGAGTGGCAATATTTGCCTAACAATACTTGAGAAAGCAGCGACTCTGGTTCCTTTAGGATCCTCCAAGAAAGCTTTGCCAGCAAGGCATCATTAAAAGCTTTGGTTTCTCGAAAACCCAGGCCTCCTTCTCCTTTTGGAAGCGTCAGTTTGTCCCAGGATATCCAACAAAGCTTCTTCTTATCTGGTTTGCTGTCCCACCAGAAGCGAGTAAGTATCGATTGAATTTGCCTGCACAAGGATACATAGATTTTAAAGCATGACATGGCGTAGGATGGCATAGCCGAAAGGACCGCCTTGAGGAGGATTTGTTTTCCTGCTGCAGAGAGGAATTTTGAAGACCAGCTATGAGCTTTCTGGCGGATGCGGTCCACGATACTTGCAAATATATCTCTTTTCTTCCTTCCGAAGTGTTCCGGGAGTCCCAAGTATTTGCCAATGCCTCCCTCATTGAAGATTTGGAGATCCTGTTTAACTCTCCTCTTTGCTTCGAGAGGAATCTTGGAAGAGAAGGTAATAGTTGATTTACCCAGGCTGATGCTCTGTCCCGAAGCTGCTTCATTACGATTCAGAATCGTCTTGAGAGTGTTGCAGGTTGCTTGGTCACTCCTGCAAAAGAACATAGTGTCATCCGCAAAGAGTAAATGATTAATGGGTGGAGATCCTCTGGCCACTTTGATTCCCGGAGGTGATCCGTTCAGTTGGGCGTTGGTGCATAAACCCGATAAGACCTCCGTACAGAGGATGAATAAATATGGCGACAGAGGGTCGCCTTGCCTTAGCCCTCTAGACGGGTGAACTCTTTGGTGAGGTGTGCCATTTATGAGGAAGGAATACAAGACTGTGCGCACACACTCCATGATCCAAGCTATCCAATTCTCGTGGAAACCAAATCTGTCAAGCACATTCTGTAGGAAAGACCATTCAATCCTGTCATACGCCTTGCTCATGTCCGTTTTAACTGCCATCGAACATCGTTTTGTTGCTCCTGAAACACGTAGAAAGTGAAGTACTTCATGAGTGATCAACACATTATTCGAGATGGCTCGTTTTGGAACGAAGGCGGATTGCTGCTTGGAGATTAACAGAGGGAGGAGCGGCTGCAGTCGTTTTGTCAGAATCTTGGCAATGATTTTGTAGTGGGAGTTGCAGAGAGCAATGGGGCGATACTCCGAAACTTTTCGTGGATCTTTAACCTTTGGGATGAGACAGACATGTGTCTCGTTTTGACGATGGTGAAGTGATCCTGTTTCGAAGAACAGTCTGATATCCTTTGAGACATCATGCCATATTATGTCCCAAAAGGATTGATAAAAACCCGCTGAGAAACCATCAGACCCCGGAGCCTTGTCTGAGTTGATAAAAAATGCAGCTTGTGTGATCTTGATATCATCCGGTATCTTTGTTAACTCCCGGTTCATCTCTGGTGAGACCTTCGGTGAGATGGCTTCGTCGACTATTTCCAGATTGTTACTAGACGTAGAACTGAAGAGCCTCCTATAATGATCCGCCACCGTGCGGGCGATCTTGCTTTCCTCATAGACTGCCTGTCCCTGCTCATCCTCCATTACATAGAGTTTGTTTTTTGCTCTCCTTTCTCGAGTAGCAGCATGGAAAAACGACGAGTTTTTATCCCCACTCTGTAGCCATTGTATTCTGCTTCTTTGTCGCCAAAACAACTCTTCTTCTTCATAAGATTTTGCCAAGGAGGATGAGAGGGACTCTATGAGAACCGTATCCGGAGTCGGATCCGAGAGGGCTACCTCTAAGGCATCATGTGAAGCTCTCAGTTGAGCAACTGTCTTAGCATTCTGTTGCTTCGTCCACCCAATCAGCTTCACTCGAACTCTGCAGATTTTGGAGACAACTGACTCCTGAATCGCAGTAGGCCATTCATCCACCACAAGTTTCCTGATCTCAGGCTTCTCTCTTAAGCGCCGATCAAATCTGAATAGTCCTTTCCTATGTGATGTCACCACATATTGCATGTATTTTGCATACATATAAGTTAGCTTTTCATGCATTTACATCACACTTTAGGCTAGATTGCATCGTTTTAGGTCCTAGAGCATTCTTGCACCAGCATACGCATGTTCCTTGCATTTTGCATCATATTCAGGTTGTTTCTGGCTACTTTGGAGTCGTGAAGGTTCGTGGACGTGCTGAGGCTAGTGTGGAGGTTCGTGGAACGTCAGATGTTTGCTAAGGACCAGAGATCGGGGAGCAGATCGAGCATGGCAGGTCGATCTAGATGAGATCGACCAGAAGATCGAGAAGCTCAGGCGATCCAAGGGAATCGATCGAGTTGAAGATCGAGTGAAGCAATCGATCAAGTGGTACGGACATAAATGACGCCATGCAGAGAGAGAGCCGGATCGAGTCCACCACTTGATCCGACCGAAGATCGATACCAAGATCGGATGTAACACTCGATCCGCCGAAGAAGATCGAGACCCAGATCGAGTAAAAGACACGATGTCCGAAAGTGATCGAGAGAGCCGCTCGATCCCGAAGTCGATCTCTGTCCTTTAAACTGTTTTTGGCCGCTAGCGAGGGGGAGGACCATCAAGCTGTTTTTTCCATTTTGGGAAGGCGGCAATGATCTTTTCCCACACACTTTTCATTCTTATCTTTTTATGCTTTTTCTCTCTGGTTTTTGGAGACGTTCCGCCATTGTTAGACTTTGAGCTTTGCTCTTGAATATTTTGAATCGTTTAAGTTTAATCCATCGTTCTTATGTTTATCGTTTCATTCTTCATGCTTTGCTTAGTTTATTTAATGTGTAATGAGTAGTTTCATTTGGGTTTCGGGGTTGAGAGGATTCACGGGGTCGAAAAGGTTTTCAAAGCTTGGTGTTTTCTTGTTCTTAATGGCTTTCTTTTCTAAGATGTTGAGTTCTTAAGGCTTAAAGAGTCTCACGCCAAGATCTTTATGATCAGAGAGAGCTCTTACCTTGACAGGATCCAGAGATCTATGAAAATCACATCTTAGAGGCTAGTTACTCTTTCCCAAACGCCATGGTAGTTTAGAGGACTAGTTAAGCCGCGTGGTTGAAATCTGTTTTCCTTGCCTCTCAATCTCTTTTTCCGCCAAATGCCATGGGTCTGGAGGGGAGAATGAGAGAGTGATCCATACCACACGCCATGGATGGGTCTTGTTTTGTTTTCAAGGCTTAGAGAATCTCACAAAGTGAGTAGATTTAGAGTTTTCAAACCAAGCTTGGACTTTTGAAACCCCTAACATGAATCTCAACCCTAGACCCTTCTTTCTTAGCATTCTTACATCTTCGTTAGTCATTCGCTTGATATTCGCCGCATCCTGGTCATTAGTTTCTTCATACTTGCATTTTTAGACGAGATCGATCCAAACTGCTCGATCTAGTGGTCGATCCTGTGGTCGATCCACTAGTCAATTTTTGTTAAATCATAGTCTTGCATTTTAATTATTCTGTTTGTTCCTCGTGGTAGTTCAATCACTCTTGGTAATTTTAAAATAGTTTTGCATTCCATTCGGTCGTTGCACATAGTTTTTAGGATTTTCACAGTATCGCCTGTCATTCGCTTAGCTTTACACTGCTCTTGCATTCTCTTTGACCTTCCTAGCTCCTAGAAATGGATTGACTCTCACTTGCATACTGTACTATAACCTAAGTGTTGCATTTGAATTTTGATAGCCTCATTGCATCCTTACCCTTGCAAAGAAAGTTGTTATCAAATGGCGCCGTTGCCATTCTAGGAGTGTTAGAAAGCATAGAGATTTGGAGCTTAGTAAATACTAAGCTTTACTTTGTTTAAGTTACTAGTCTCTCTACTCTCAAACGTGTTTCTTCCAGGTACATGCATCTTCGTTCCAGGGGAGACAACCATCTACTTCAACCCTTGGAAAACATCCATCAACTTGGTCATTCACGGCAAAGAAGAGTACGAGAACAAGCTAGAGCTTTTGAGGAGATTGTTCAGCACGGTTTGGTTAACTTTGAAGCTATGGCTGAACACGAGCATCCAGAGGGACCTCCTCCAGCTCACGGGGCAGTGGGAAGGGGCAATGGAAACCCCCAACACGCGGCTAGACCCCCAAGGATCATAGGAGCCGGAGTTGCTCCCAATACTTATCACAATAGGTTTGGGATCACTCCTCCTCCTGTACAAAATAACAACTTCGAGATTAAGCCAGGTTTCATCTCCATGGTGCAAAACAACAAGTTCCACGGTTTAGCAATGGAAGATCCCTTGGAGCACCTCGACAATTTTGAGCAAGTATGTGGGATGATCAAGATAAACGGCATATCCGAAGATTCTTTCAAGCTGCGTCTCTTTCTATTCTCTCTTGGAGGCAAGGCTAGACATTGGGAGAAAACACTTCCTCAAGGCACCATCACTTCATGGGCCGAGTGTAAGAAGGCTTTCCTCTCAAAGTTCTTCTCTAGCACCAGAACGGGAAGGCTACGAAGCGAGATCAGCGGCTTCACGCAAAGGAATAATGAGACCTTCAATGAAGCCATGGAACGATTCAAGGACTATACTATCCAATGTCCTCACCACGGTTTCAGCGAAGAGACTCTTCTAAGCACTATCTACCGCGGAGCTTCACCAAATATCAGGTTGCTGCTTGACACGACCAGTAAGGGGAACTTCCTTGGTCAAGAGGTAGAAGAAGGCATGGAGCTGATTGAGAACTTAGCACTAAGTGACGGCAACTATGCTGAAGATTATGACCGTGCACCACGAGGTTCTGAGCTAGAGTCTCACAAGAAAGAGTTGAAATCATTACACGAGAAGATTGACAAGTTGGTTTTGGCAAATCAGAAGCATGTTCACTTTGTTGGTGAAGCGGATGAGAGCCAA